ACCACACCCACCCACTGACCACACCCACCCCACTGACNGACCATGCCCATCTACTGACCCCACCCACCCCACTAACCACACCTGCACAACTGACCACGCCCATCTACTGACCACACTCACATCATCCCACTGACCACCCCCACCCCCACTGACCACACCCATCTGACCACACCCACCCCACTGATCACGCCCACCAATACGCTCCTCTGGCCACACCCATCAATGTGATTCCATGATTGCCCTCTCCATGCCCAAATTCCCCTTTCCAAGGTTCTCCCCAGGCTCTGGAGCTCCGAGACAGGAGCTCAGCCACAGGAAGGACTCAGTCCGCCCCTCCCATCCTGGCCACAGCACAATCCCAATAAATTGTGTTTTAAAATCCCTCTCTCCCTTCCAGGGCCATGGGAGAACATCCTCCCGCAGTGTTTTAGGTTGAGACTCTGGAACTGGGCTTTTCTGGAATTGTTTTTTCCTGGAATCAGCCTTTGGTTTCCTTGTGCTGTTCACTCATAGGAATTCCTGACTCTTCCCAAACTCAGTCCAGCCTGACTCAGCTTTAGGATTTGCAGCCTCGAGACCCCACAACACCCAACTTCCCAAGAGTTAAGAACTAAAAACCATTTAAGTTTTCCACTAAGAGTGAAATCCCAGCTCCGTGGGGCCGCAGCTCCAGCAAATTCCCTAAATTCAGGGCTGAATTCTCAGTGCCCACCCCCAAATTCCTGCTCCCAGCATTCCCAGGAGTTTTATCAGTGCCAAACACACAAAAAAACCCCACAAAACCTCACTTCCCCCAAGTTCCCCGCAGTGTCCGCACCACCCCACAGCCGCGCCTTCCCTGTTCCCGGTTTTTCCAGGGACGAGCATGATGGTGGAGGACTCGGGGACGAGGCCAGCGCCACACGTCGCGGTCATCACCACCAACTCCCTGCTGATGGTGGCCCTGATCAGCTCCCTGGAGCTCTGACCGCGCCCCGGACGCGGCTCCGGACACGATTCCTCCCGATCCCGCGGGAACAAGGCGACGTTCGGCAAATCCCACTTGGGAGCGGGGCGGCACCGTGGGGAGAGGATTGGACCACTTGGTTGGAAGGGAGGAAGAAATTAAAAACAGCTTTTTTTTTGTCTTTTTGGTTTGGAGGAACAGAAGCTTTCGTACAAGACATGGGTCTTTAACCGATTAAATGTTTTTTAAGGAAAATGAGGAAAATGAAGAATTCTCCAGGAATTCTGCAGCCAACTGCCCCACTCCCCCTCACTGTATCCGTAGGTTTTCTGCCTTATTGAAGCCATGTATGAGATAACCAGACTGCTAAATTTGACTTTTTTTTTAACTCTGTACAGTGAATTCCATGTGGGGACGGGGACTGAGGAGTTCAGGGACACCCATCCCACCACAGCCAGCTCGGAGCATCTGTGGGACGGGATTGATCCTTTTTTCCACCAAAAAAAAAAGCGCCAAATCCTGCAGGAACCAACCCAAGGAGACAAATCCTTGGGAGGATCAAGCTCTGCCCCAGCCTGAAAAGCTTTTTTTACAACTCTGGTGTTCACTTGCTGCACCAGCCTGGTGCTTGTCTCAGCTGTGAGGTGCAAATTCTGTGTTTTCCCATATCCCACCTGCTTTGGGGGTGGATTTGCCACCCTGTTTGCCTCTTTCCTTTCTGTTTGGAGAGAAGGGGTTCCTTTCCCAGAATCCCTAATTCGGGCAGCTCTGCCTAAAAATGGAGGTGTCAATAAATCCGATTTCAGAGGAGTTGAGAGAAGGACTTTTAAAAAAAGACAAAATGAAAAGAGGAATGGGAAACTCCAGGAAGCCACCGCTGGAACAACAAGGAAGATTTGGACTCAGATTCATCGCCCCGCACTGAGAATTCATCCAGCCAAAATTCCAGGCTGGGACTGGGACTGCAAAGGCTGAGATCCAGCCAGGAAGCGGCTCTGAATTCCATCTGCGATGGCTGCCGGACATCCCAAGGAAGCACTGGGATGCTGAGGAGCCCCCTCCACTCCAGAGGCTGGGAAAAGCAGGAACGCTGAGCTGAGCTCCCACAGGACTGGTTGGGAATTGATGTTGCCTGTTGAAATCTCTGTCTCCCAGTAAAGCAGTTGACCAAAGTTAACGAGAATTGATTGGTGTTGCCACTGGTTTTATCCCAAGGGTGGTTTTAGGGACTTTTCCCCGGCTCTGATTCCTCAATCCCAGAGAAAACAGCGCCAGCCTGGGCAATCCCAATCCCAAAATTTTCTGGCTGAGCCCTGACGAGCAGTTTTCCCTTTAAACGCCAGTTCCTCATTCTTTTTAGCCCAGGTGGTGGCAAGGAAATCCCTCTCCAGACAGGGCAGCTCAGGCTTTGCTAAGCCCTGTTTTGGGCAGTCCCTTCTGCCATTCCGTTGATCCAGGGCTGGGAGAGCCACGGGGAAGGATCTGCACCTGCAAATCCGGCATTCAGACCTCGGGAAATGACAAAAATCTACGTTTAAAGCCCAGCCAGAGCCACCAACGGGAGGAAAAGGCTTGGGATCCTCCTTAAAACCTCTCGGAGCTTCCTAAAATACAGCCCAGGGGTTAAAGGTGTGCAGAGACAGGGAGAGAACTGGAATGCCTGGGATTTGGAGGGAAGGATGGAGAGAGGGAAGGATGGAGAGAGGGGAGGATGGAGAGGAAAGGAGCTCCTCCCAGCTCCAGCCTCTGGTGATCCCAAAGATCCCGGAGCTCCAGGCTCAGCTGGGCTGAGGCAGCTCCTGCCTTGTCCCCAGGAGCTGCAGGGACAGCCCTGGAAGCTCCTGATGCTTCCTAAAGCTTGGGACCGCGGAAATTCCTCCTGCTGGGAATGGGGAGCACACAGAATTCCCAGAAAGTCCAGGGTTTCCAAGGAGTTCAGAGTTCCCAGGGTTTCCATGGAGTCCAGGGTTTCCATGGAGCCTGTGCCATCATTGTCTCCAGGTGAAAAATTGGGAAAAAGGAGTTCAGGCACCAATTCAGAGCAGAGAGACACTTTTTTCCTAAATTCCTGCCATTTATGGTGGGAATTCAGGGGCAGTGATGAAGAAAAGATGATTTTGCAGGGAGAGATGGAAAAAAAGAGGGATGGGGATGTTCTTCCAAGGGTTTTTACTTCCCTGCTTGCACTGAGCTCCAGCCTCTGCTATTCCCTTTTCCTTTTCTCTCTCCTTCCCTCCTTCCCTCCTTCCCTCCTTCCTTCCCTCCTTCCTTCCCTCCTTCCCCTGTTAAGATGAACATCCCTCAATCCTTAAAATCCCTTCAGAAATCAAAGAGCACCCCAAAAAAATCCCATTAAAGGCCCTTTGTGACAGCTGGACCCCAGTGGCCATCCCAGCCCTCGGTCTTCAAATCAAAACTCCAATTACGGATTCATTTTCCCTGCTCTGGGCATCTGCCTCCCCTTAGAAATTAAAAAAAAAAAAAAAACGCAATCCAAAGATGAAGGAGATTTTTGGCTCCCGCCCTGACTCCCCCAGCAGAGCTGGATTGTGCCGGAGCTTTCATCCCGCTGGATTTGGGAATCCCAGCTGGGCCCAAGACGCTGAAATTTCCATGACAAAGAGCAGAGAGGGTCCTGCAGATGGGGCAGCTCTGGACCATTAACTCCCAGCCCGCTGTGATGGGTCATTCCCAATTTTTCCACTTCCAGGAGGTGAAAAAAAAGCCCTCTGGGAATCAGCTCTGGAAAGTGCCTGGTTTGGTTTTCATTCAAATAAATAAAATTATTTCCCTCCATGTCCATATTATTCAACATCAAAGCATTTTTGTGTCATTCTGGTAAAAGGAAAAACTCGGGAATTTTTGATTTTTAATGTGCTGTGGTTTTCCCTGGATTTGAGTGTCCCTGTAGCTCACAGGAAAAAAGGGAACAAACAGCAAATAAGGAAGAAAATAGAAAAAAATGAGGTATTTTTTAAGTCACTCCATGGATTCCACTCCCTGCAGAATTCCTGGTTTATCCTCATCAATCACCGGGAAAAATGAAAGATCCCAACCCCACTGAGGAATCCCGTAAGGGTTTTAGGGATGAGCTCAGCTCTGATCTCATCTCCTGCTTCCCGGTGCTCCCTGCCCTGCACAAACCCAGCAATATCCCAGAAAACGCTTTTTTCGGGATCTCATGGAAGGGAATAAACTTCCAGAGGGAAGTGGGGCATCCCTCACCCCCAGAGCTTGGATCAGAGGGAAACGACACCGGCTCAAAAATCACCACATTCCTCACCCCTGACCTGGGGCAGCTCCATCCCCCCAGAATTCTTGGAAAAGTGGGAGAAATGGGAGGAAATTTGACAGGAATAAGGATGGGAAGTTAAATTTAAAACCCCCAAACACCTCGAGGTAAAGCACAGCCCCTTCAGAGGAGCTGGCAGCTCTCTGCTGTGGCTCAGGGTGATCCAAAGCCTGGCTGGATCATTCCAGAATTCCACTGGAATCATCTCCAGCCCTGTCCCAACTTTCCAGGCTCCAAAGTGGCCGAAAATATTCAATAATAAACCTCGTCTGTTGAAAATAAATGATAAATATTCCTTTAAATTCCATGGGATCCATGGAACGCCCCGAGTTGGAAGTTGGAAAATCCAAAATGTAGATGACTCCCAAGAATCCCATCCTGAATTCCTAATCCAGGCTCCAAAGTGGCTGAAAATATTCAATAATGAGCTGTGTCTGTTGAAAATGAATGATAGATATCCCATTAAATAGTTATGGGATCCATGGAATGCCCCGAGTTGGAAGGATCACCAAAATCCAGCGGCGATTTCCCAAGAAATCCCAAGAATCCCATCCTAAATTCCTGAATTCCTAATCCAGTCTCCAAAGCGGCCCAAAATATTAATTTACCAATCTGCTGCAAACAAAAAAATCCCATTAAACAGTTATGGGATCCATGGAATGCCCCAAGTTGGAAGGGAAGGATCATCAAAATCCAACAGCGGACGATCCCGAGAATCCCAGCCTGAATTCCTGATCCTAATAAAGAGTGGAAGACAGGGAATTGCATCAAAGTCTGTTCATTTCCCGCGCCGCTCTGTTCCTGCACATCCTGCCCAGGCAGCAGAACCCGAGGCTGAAGAGGATCCCCAGGATCACCCCGCTCCCAACTCCCAGCACCGCCTCATAAATCCACTGCTTCTCCCACGGATTCCGCCAGCGTTCCTGCTCCGCGGCGCCGCTGGCGTTCCCCGGCGGCTCCTCCCCGTTGGCCGCCAGCTGCTGCTCCCAAGTCAGGGATTTCTGGAAGTCGAGATCCACCAGATCCCTGGGGATCACCCTGAGGCCGAAGTAGATCCTCTTGACGAGCTGGAAGGAGCTCAGCACCTGCACGTCGCAGCGGTAGGTCCCGGAATGCGACTCCAGAGCCGGAGAGAAGTTCAGGGAAGGGTTGGGATTGTGGAAAGGATGGAACAGGAGGTCGTTGGTGGTGATGAGCCCGTGGGCGAACCTCCAGGTGTAGCCGAAATTTGGTCCCTCCAGGCTGGCGGCGTCCGGGGAGAGGCAGGTGAGGCGGATGGGATTTCCCTCGGGAACGCTGAGGTGCCGGAGGCCGCAGATCCAATGGCTAAGGCAGCGGGAACGCACCAGGGAGCAATTCTGGCGCTCCCCGGCTGGGCTGACCTCGCACAGCCGCTCCTCCTTCACGCCCAGCCCGCAGGTGACGCTGCAGGGCGTGGAGTTCACCACCACCATGGCCTTCAGCCCCAGCGGGATGGGCTCCGATCCCGCGGGAAGCTCCGAGCCCGATCCCGATCCCGCGGGAGGCTCCGGCTCCGAGGGAAGCGCCGCTGGAATGCACAGGGCGCACAGCAGGATCATTGCCATGGGGCTCTGCTCCATCTCTCCGGGTGGTTTTGCGTCTGGGTTCAGTGCTCCAAACCCCCCGGAATCATTCCATAAATCTGCCGGATCCTTCGGGATGTCTCTGACATCCCGCCAGATCTAATCCTTCCACCTGGGAAAATCCTCCCCAAATGGAGCTGGAGGCACAACTAAAAAAAGACACGGCAAGGAGTTACTGGATCCAGCAGGGCGGGAATTCCAGGAATTCCATTGGGAATGTTCTTCCAAGAGGACAGGATGTTCTGATCCATTGGATCCAATACAACTCTGCCTAAATTCCATCAGTTTTGGGTGTGTTGGGCAATTTAAGAGTGGAATTCTCCCCTCTCCTTAAGACTTCCCACATGATTTTCGATGGATTTTATTTTAGGTGGATTTCCACTGGAAAAGGAGCGTCTCCAGTTTCGTTTTCCCACCAAACTCCAAACTTCCAGCGGGAATTCCTGCAGGAATCTCCCAAATAACGCTGCGGAGTGTGAGGAAACCCCAAAATCCCAATTCCTCGTGGTCCAATCCCGACTGACACAAACACATCCCAGAGTCTGGAGCACTCCCAATCCCAACATTCCAACCTCTATTCGGGCTGATCCATGGGAATCCGGGGTCGGAGCTGCTGTGGCTCCGGTCACTCTGTGTCCACACCAGGCCCTGGAGCTGTTCCCATGGGAGCAGCTCTGACATCACAGCCGGGGCACAACGGCCCCAAACATTCCAAGGAAGAACTCTCAAGGAAGGCCGAGCAAATCCTGGGAGCTGAGGGCTCCCAAGGATTTCTGGAAGCTCCAGGTGAGGCTCTGGATAAAATTCCCAGCCTTGGAAAGAGACACAGGAGTTGGGAGAGCACCCAGAGCCCTCATTCCCAAGGGGTACGACCCCAGGCTTCCACTGATGGATCCACAGGAATCATTCCCACGCTGCCATCCCAGGAAAACGCTCAGAGAGGAGATTCCGGCGGGATCCGTGCGGTGCTCAAGCATCCCAAAATAATCATGCAGTGCCAAAGTGGTCTTCCCTGGAAAATCCAGGTTTTTTGATGGAGGAACCTCCCCTAGCTCTATGGAACCACGTTCTCCATAGTTTTTGACGGCAATTTTATGGAAAAGGCATCCCATAATCTCCTGCTGGGCATCCCTGGATTCCCACAGGGATTTGGGTTTTCCGAGTTCTTCCGCAGGTAACGAATATCCGGACGTTTCCCTTCCTGACATTCCTTAAACTGAAGAATTCCCGAAGCTCCAAGAGGATTTTCCACCCCCGGAGTTGCCCTCCCCTCCCAGCTCCATGTCCAGCTCCCCTTTCCCAGCCTGGCTCCCAAGGCACTCGGGGATCAGGGAATTCCCGACTGGTTTGGGTGGGAAAGAACCTTAAATCCCACCATTCCACAATCCCAGGATGCTCCAAACCCCGTCCAGCCTGGCCTGCGACACTTCCAGGGATGGGGCAGCCACGGATTCTCTGGGAATTCCATTCTCTGAGCGGCCAGGGTTTGGTTTTACTCTGGATTTCCTCCTCTCCCTTCAATAAAACCAACAAAAAATACTCTAAAAACCCCAAACTCGGGGAATTCCCAAATTCCCCAACTTTTCCATGGAAAAGCCAAGATTTACCTGTGGATTTTAGGAAATGGAAGGTACCTCTTTATTTACAAACACAGAGCCATCACCACTGCCAAAGCTGATCCGATATTGTACAAAAACAGGGAATAAAATAAGGACGGGAATAACTCGGGAAAGAGAATAAGGATGGGAATAAAAAGGAAATAAAATAAGGATGGGAATAAGGCGGGAAATACAATAAAGATGGGGACAAAGTGAGAAACAAAATAAAGATGGGAATAACCAGGACAGAAAATAAGGATGGAATAAAGTGGGAAATAAAATAAGGATGGAAACAAACCAGGAAATAAAATACGGATGGGAATAACAAGGAAATAAAATAAAGACGGGAACAGACCAGGAAATATGGATGGGAATAAAGCAGGAAATACAAGGATGGGAATAAAGCAGGAAAGAAGGATGGAAACAAACCAGGAAATAAAACAAGGATGGGAATAAATCGGGAAATAAAACAAAGATGGGAACAAACTAGGAAAGAAAATAAAGATGGGAACAAAGTGAGAACTAAAATAAAGATGGCAATAAAGCAGGGAAGAAAATAGAGATGGGAATAACCAGGACAGAAAATTAAGGATGGGGAATGAAGCGGGAAATAAAATAAGGATGGAGAATGAAGTGGGAAATAAAATAAGGATGGGAATAAAGAGGGAAATAAAGATGGGAATAAAACGGGAAATGAAGGAAGGGCTTTAAGCCAAGCTGCAGGAGCTCAGCCTGTGCCGCAGGAATTGGGGTCAGGCCCAGCCAGGGCAGGTTTGGCACGGCAGAGTCGCCCCACAAGCAAAAAAGAACAAAAATCCCAATGGGAATTTTACACTCGTGGTCAGAAATGTCCCAAAATGAACCCAAACGTCCCCAAAGCCTGGAGCGGAAACGTAGAGTTTTGAAGAATTACGAAAGCTCTGATTTCCAAATGTTTTCTCTCTCCTGGTTTTTGTATCTGCATGGTTCTGGCTGAAAACTCATCCCTTCCCAACTACCCTCCTGCCTTTTCCCGCAGGACACCCAGGAAATTTAAATACCTCCTGATAATCCCAAAAATTCCACCCGGGGGGAAACACCGAGAGCAACGAAACGCCGAAGTCTAGGGGGAAAAAACGGGGATTTAGGGGTGAAATTTCCTTTTTTCAGGATGCTGGTGTGGGTAAGAGGTGCCAGGCTGTGGGTGCTGGACAGGGAAAGTGCTATTCCCATTCCT